TAGAAAAAATTTTAATATATTCACAGCCTCTTTCCAAGATTTTAGAAGCATTTAGGAGTTTTTATAGGTAATACTCATTGTTTCTGATAAGAACACATACGCACACATAAAAGGAAGCATTTTCAAACATCTGTATTCATGTTTCCTTCAAAGCAGCTACCTTTTCAATCATTATTAAAACATTATCTTCTCCCCAAAGGGTCAAATTAACAATGCTTGTATGAAGCTAGGACAATCTGAGCATCAAAATACATGACAGTAATAGATTATAACTCATGTAATAAGTTAGGAACACATGAGTCCTTACTGATATAAATAAGTTGATGGAAGAAAGAAAGTTTGCACTTAGCAACCTCCATTAGCAGTGATAGATTCACAGAGGAGTTATCAATGGATACTTAGCTAGTAGGTGGAGATTTGATGAGGAACAAGATATTGGCATAGTATGAGAATATTACACACAAAACACTTATCAATTACAAAAGGAAAACTGATGCCTTAACAGTGGAGAAATCTGGCCAGTGCGAACTTGACTCCATGATTAAGGTTAACATTACAAGGGGTAGGACAGGTTGACATCATGCAAATTCTGATGCTATTCACTAAAAAGAACCCAATATCACTTTTGTGTAATCCCTGCCAAGAAAGCATAGCCTGAGTCTGGACCTAAGGAACACTGAATGGATCCAAAATGCAGAACTGCTACAAAATGAAAGCTCTGTAATATCTGCTGAAGATGAGAAAGACTGAGGAACTGTTGCAGATTAAAGGAGACTACAGAGACAGGATTACTAACTGCCACATGTCAGCCTGGATTGTATCTTGGACCAGAAAAGAAAAAAGACATTGTTTGGATGGTTGGCAAAATTTACATGGAGTCTTCATAGTGCTGTGCTGTCAATGTTGATTTCCTTATTTGGATGGTTATATTTTGGTTATATAGGAGAATAGCCTTGTCTTTTCAGGAAATTCAAACAGGAGTATTTAGAAGTGACAGAACTTGTCTCCAGCTTTCTCTCAAATGGTTCAGGAAAAATCAATCACAATGGAGGATACTTAGCAAATGTGGTAAAATGTCAACAGCTGGGGCATTTGGTGAGGCAGACATCAAAGTTTCTTACACTACTGTTTTGGAAACTTTTCCCTAAATTTGAAATTACTACAGAATTAATTATTTTTAAATATGTTTACACATGTAAACATGCTTGCATTTTTAATATCTGTCAACTATTATTCTACTCACAGCCACTTATCATCTTTTAAAAATGTCTTTTCAGCCTGAAGACTACTACTGACACACAGATAAGGCTACTTTATACTTAATAACACTGAAAACAAAAAATATTTCTATTTTTACTTTTTTATATTGTTTCAAATTTTAATCTGTTGATGCTTTGGGTCTTAAATTAAGGAAGCCCATAGAAATTTCTGAACACTGTGTAGAATTTCTGGCCCTGTACAGGTCAGCCAGTGGTATCTGAACTGGCTGGATAAGAGAGACAACTGGCCCTAGGAGGCCTTGAAATAGCCACCTGTCCTAAACTTAAAATAAAATGGCCTCAAGGCAATAATAGTACTAAAAATAGCATTTAACTTTACTTTCAGGCTTTCAACCCAGCAGGTCTATTTGACTTCCATTAATCAGCATAGAAAGAAGCCACCTCCTATCTCTTAAGGTTCTAGCTCACTTGTCACGCATTCCCAGAATTTAAGAAGATGACTAATCACTAAATGCTCTTTCAGCATCATTTGTCTCCCAGTGTCAAAGGAAAAATTGTCCCAACTAGTACTAGAACAACAGATTTCCTACCTCCTGCAGCTGGAGTCGAACCTTGGTTACTGCTCGGATCCAGTGTGCTCTGGCTTGGGTAAATGGTGAAGATGCATTCTCCTCGGAAAAACTTGTAACAAAGAAAAGAATGTTCCTTAAAAATAGTCCAGGCCACAGGGTGACAGTGCTCAAGGCAAAACTGCCAAATATCTAAAATAAAATGGTTTGTATTCATGTCTATACTTATTTTAGTGATTCAGGCCACTGAAACAGCATAGCCCTGACGTCCAATGTGAAAAATATTACTCTCTAAAATGACAAGTCCTTTTAGCTTTTCATCTGCTCCCTCCTTTTCTTCCCCCATTTTCACTCACCCAATGGGACAGTCATTGGGACAGTCAGAGATTGGGATACTAGAAGCAATGGCAAGGGCTCTGAGTCAATGCCTGGCATTAAAACTTATGCAGAGAGGTGTGCAGTAATCCTCATACCTTACCTCTCAAGATCACCAGTATCCCTTGGGAGACAGAGCATCCTTAGCACAAAATTTTGTTCCTGCAAACCCTTCCTAGTCCACTAAGTATTTTGGAAGGCTTACCAATTGCTAGAATGCATCAAAGGTGCCAAGGTTGTGTTCCTTGAGCTACGTAAGCAACACCCTCAGTGAAATGAACAATAAATATAACAAAGTAGTTTTGAGACAGAAACATTATCCTATATTACGAGTCATCATCCAAGTTCTTAACTTTGGAATAGTTGTAATTTCTCAGTGATGATGCTTCTCCTCTCCCCGACTGGGATCTACTGCCAAGGCAGTGAGCAAGCATCAACCATAGAGACACATAAAATAAATGCTAGGCTCTGATGCCATCTAACTGGGTGGATTGTTTTAAAACATTTGTGGGCACTTCTGGGCAAGGTAGAACTAGATTTCACTTGCACAGCTAGGATCTGAGAGTCCAATGTTTATAATTAGGCAGCTATCCATAGAAATTTTTTTAGGATACAACTCTCTCTGTATGTATATTTATTCATTTAAAAATTATACATGTGTAATTGTATTAACACATTCATTACATTATAAAAAATAAAATGTAAAAAGCATATGAAACAAACATTTATGATTAATGACAAAATATTTTCAGTGAAAGCAATGTGATTAATATGTCTCATTTTTAAAATCTGCTTAATATTTTGTTATAGATGATTTGAAGGTCTGATTCCACATTCAATTATTTCAATACTTAGTTTTCATAGCTGTCATAGTTTGTATATCAGTCAAATGAAAGATATACAATTGGTTCCTACATACCAATTATTCAAAAATTTTATTAAAATCTGGCTAATAAGTTTTCATCTTTAATGTCTTATAAAATAGACATATTTTAAACAAGTTCCAACTTCATTGAAGATTTCCATTAGAAAAAATTTTAATATATTCACAGCCTCTTTCCAAGATTTTAGAAGCATTTAGGAGTTTTTATAGGTAATACTCATTGTTTCTGATAAGAACACATACGCACACATAAAAGGAAGCATTTTCAAACATCTGTATTCATGTTTCCTTCAAAGCAGCTACCTTTTCAATCATTATTAAAACATTATCTTCTCCCCAAAGGGTCAAATTAACAATGCTTGTATGAAGCTAGGACAATCTGAGCATCAAAATACATGACAGTAATAGATTATAACTCATGTAATAAGTTAGGAACACATGAGTCCTTACTGATATAAATAAGTTGATGGAAGAAAGAAAGTTTGCACTTAGCAACCTCCATTAGCAGTGATAGATTCACAGAGGAGTTATCAATGGATACTTAGCTAGTAGGTGGAGATTTGATGAGGAACAAGATATTGGCATAGTATGAGAATATTACACACAAAACACTTATCAATTACAAAAGGAAAACTGATGCCTTAACAGTGGAGAAATCTGGCCAGTGCGAACTTGACTCCATGATTAAGGTTAACATTACAAGGGGTAGGACAGGTTGACATCATGCAAATTCTGATGCTATTCACTAAAAAGAACCCAATATCACTTTTGTGTAATCCCTGCCAAGAAAGCATAGCCTGAGTCTGGACCTAAGGAACACTGAATGGATCCAAAATGCAGAACTGCTACAAAATGAAAGCTCTGTAATATCTGCTGAAGATGAGAAAGACTGAGGAACTGTTGCAGATTAAAGGAGACTACAGAGACAGGATTACTAACTGCCACATGTCAGCCTGGATTGTATCTTGGACCAGAAAAGAAAAAAGACATTGTTTGGATGGTTGGCAAAATTTACATGGAGTCTTCATAGTGCTGTGCTGTCAATGTTGATTTCCTTATTTGGATGGTTATATTTTGGTTATATAGGAGAATAGCCTTGTCTTTTCAGGAAATTCAAACAGGAGTATTTAGAAGTGACAGAACTTGTCTCCAGCTTTCTCTCAAATGGTTCAGGAAAAATCAATCACAATGGAGGATACTTAGCAAATGTGGTAAAATGTCAACAGCTGGGGCATTTGGTGAGGCAGACATCAAAGTTTCTTACACTACTGTTTTGGAAACTTTTCCCTAAATTTGAAATTACTACAGAATTAATTATTTTTAAATATGTTTACACATGTAAACATGCTTGCATTTTTAATATCTGTCAACTATTATTCTACTCACAGCCACTTATCATCTTTTAAAAATGTCTTTTCAGCCTGAAGACTACTACTGACACACAGATAAGGCTACTTTATACTTAATAACACTGAAAACAAAAAATATTTCTATTTTTACTTTTTTATATTGTTTCAAATTTTAATCTGTTGATGCTTTGGGTCTTAAATTAAGGAAGCCCATAGAAATTTCTGAACACTGTGTAGAATTTCTGGCCCTGTACAGGTCAGCCAGTGGTATCTGAACTGGCTGGATAAGAGAGACAACTGGCCCTAGGAGGCCTTGAAATAGCCACCTGTCCTAAACTTAAAATAAAATGGCCTCAAGGCAATAATAGTACTAAAAATAGCATTTAACTTTACTTTCAGGCTTTCAACCCAGCAGGTCTATTTGACTTCCATTAATCAGCATAGAAAGAAGCCACCTCCTATCTCTTAAGGTTCTAGCTCACTTGTCACGCATTCCCAGAATTTAAGAAGATGACTAATCACTAAATGCTCTTTCAGCATCATTTGTCTCCCAGTGTCAAAGGAAAAATTGTCCCAACTAGTACTAGAACAACAGATTTCCTACCTCCTGCAGCTGGAGTCGAACCTTGGTTACTGCTCGGATCCAGTGTGCTCTGGCTTGGGTAAATGGTGAAGATGCATTCTCCTCGGAAAAACTTGTAACAAAGAAAAGAATGTTCCTTAAAAATAGTCCAGGCCACAGGGTGACAGTGCTCAAGGCAAAACTGCCAAATATCTAAAATAAAATGGTTTGTATTCATGTCTATACTTATTTTAGTGATTCAGGCCACTGAAACAGCATAGCCCTGACGTCCAATGTGAAAAATATTACTCTCTAAAATGACAAGTCCTTTTAGCTTTTCATCTGCTCCCTCCTTTTCTTCCCCCATTTTCACTCACCCAATGGGACAGTCATTGGGACAGTCAGAGATTGGGATACTAGAAGCAATGGCAAGGGCTCTGAGTCAATGCCTGGCATTAAAACTTATGCAGAGAGGTGTGCAGTAATCCTCATACCTTACCTCTCAAGATCACCAGTATCCCTTGGGAGACAGAGCATCCTTAGCACAAAATTTTGTTCCTGCAAACCCTTCCTAGTCCACTAAGTATTTTGGAAGGCTTACCAATTGCTAGAATGCATCAAAGGTGCCAAGGTTGTGTTCCTTGAGCTACGTAAGCAACACCCTCAGTGAAATGAACAATAAATATAACAAAGTAGTTTTGAGACAGAAACATTATCCTATATTACGAGTCATCATCCAAGTTCTTAACTTTGGAATAGTTGTAATTTCTCAGTGATGATGCTTCTCCTCTCCCCGACTGGGATCTACTGCCAAGGCAGTGAGCAAGCATCAACCATAGAGACACATAAAATAAATGCTAGGCTCTGATGCCATCTAACTGGGTGGATTGTTTTAAAACATTTGTGGGCACTTCTGGGCAAGGTAGAACTAGATTTCACTTGCACAGCTAGGATCTGAGAGGACACAGCCAGTAGAGAAGGACAAATACTTGTGCTGGGCACATCTGCTGCTCTACTAAGAACTCTACCCAGACAATGGTATCTGCCAAGTGTAAGGTCTACAAGGATCCTTTCAGTGAGTTGTCAACCCAGTAAAAAAGCTAGTCCACAGCTCAGTCTCCTGGATGTCTTGTCTACTAGATTAGCCACCTTAGATGACTAAAATCAGTAACAAGAAGAGAAAATAAGTTTGCATTTTCAGTGGTGGAGTAGACACACCAATCATTCTGTTACCATGTAACTAAGCACTCACTGCTCTGACTTTTGGTGAGAGGCTTTACTAGACCTCAAAATTTAATACTCCAAGCCACACCTAGCTTTTATCACTCTACACCAATGGTTTTCAACTGGGGGCAGTTTTGCCTCCCAGGAGAAATCTGGCACCATCTAAAGATAATTTGGGTTGTCACAACTGAGGGTTGCTACTGGCATCTAGTGTGCAAAGGTCAGGGATGCTACTAAGCATCCTACAACACAGACAATAGCTCCCCAGAGCAAAGAGTTATCAGGCTAAAAATGTCAACAATGCTAAGACTTGAAAAACCATGCTCTGCCCTAACCTATCAGCAACTCTGCCGACCAATTTAGTTCAGTAATAACAACACTCAAGCTCTGTACTAAGCTTCATTGTAAGACTGTTAAAAAGGACAAGTTTTAAGTTTTTCTTCTTATGGGTACCAACTGTAAGGCACACTGCTAGGCCCTGGGGAGGGTGGATTAAATCTGGCTTCTAAATCAATTCTTTCTTAACTCTCAGGCAGGAAAAGAATAATAATGACAACAACAAAAATGTTTACAAAAGAAATTGAAATATTAATAGATGTGAAGCCCATTTCATTCAAAGCAGTTCCTTTGAATGAAATAACCTGCAGGGCTCAGGTGAGTTCCAGACTCAGAGGCTGCTCTATGTGTGGTCAACTAGAAAGCCAAAAATCACAGACTCAAGAAGGCCTGGCACACTGCAGCTAACTACAAAGAACCCAAGTGTTCTTCAGAGATCCTCAAAATACTGTGGGAATTACACCACAAACCAAAGGAAGCAGTGAAGAGCTGAAGTATCCTGATCACCACCATAGCCAGCTATCAGGAAACAAATGAAAAGCACTTATATTCAGCAAAAGAACAAGGGTGGTACTGAGGAAACCATGTGAGTTCCTCAAGGTAGACATCACCTACCTTTCCTGGGGGTCTACGACGTGGTCTCTGTGTAGCACCAGATCTGGGGGAGGGTGGCTTGCGGCTCCTTCCTTCCTCTCTTTGGGTTCATAGGCTCTCCCCGTCTCTTCACCTGCCACCTCCAAGGCTTTCTCTTGTTCTCCAAAACCCACCTGGCCATCTTTAGAGAAGCTGCCAGAGCTGTGGCCAGAATGAATCGAGCCCCTCTCCCGATGCTCATCATCTTGTTCGTGACACTGGTCTACTTCACTCAGCTGAGAGCTTCCTTGACTCACATTACAGGAGGAGCCATACCTACTACTGCTGGTGGGACTGCAAAAATGAGAGGAAGACAGATGAGTAAATAAGTGCAAACTAGGGACAAAGGCAAAAGTAATGGATAAATCTAAGAAATAAGGATTGTATCAGCAGCAAGAATCACAAATAGGAGGTTCGTGGGAAGAGAGGACCAATGATAATCTAGAAGAACTAGTGATCTACTCAGCAGAATCACAACAGGAAAAAACACAACATGCCGGGTTCTCTAAAAACATTTGCCTCTACCCTGCAATTGACTTTGGAGACTATCTTAATGTGATATTTGTAAGCAGGATTAAGAATTATTAAAAGAGCTTGCTGTTTATACCTAAAATTCTTTACTTAGACTTTTAAAGAATCTTGTCCAGTGGCCATTATTAGTTTTCTATTCCACATCATAAATGGATGGATGAACTCTACTCCCCTTTTCTGCTATTTATTAAATTGAGATCGCTGCTTCTTCCTCTGCAATTGTAAACGTGAATGCCTACTCCTTAGAAAGGGCACAGGAGATGTTCCTTCAATTATCTCTCAGCCATTTGCATGATAAGATAATGGAAGCCACTGGGAGTTGGGAGGCTAACACCAAGAAATTCCTTAGGGGAATGGTCTCGTCAACATGAATATTACGGTGCTACTGCTGGCAGCGTAGGGATGCCCCAAAGATGAACTTATCCATATGTAACTGAATTGCTCTTAGAACAACCCAGTTTTGGATAAAGTGGACTACGTCCAACTTCAGTATCTGGGTCAGCGCTGTATTTATGCATTACTGTACCTGAAGAGAGGTCAGCCCAACCCTCTCAGTCAGCTGAATTCCCATACCCAGAAAAAAAATTTCTTCTTCTGAGAGATAGCACCTTCTGAGAGGTAGCAGAGAAAGTGGCAATAAATTGTGACCATAAAGTGTCCAGAATTACTCCCTTGAGCCATATACTGAGTTTAAAGGATTCAGTCCTATTTAAGATAAAGGGACTTGGTGATGATCTACAAGCTCTATCCCAACCCATTTGGACAGTTTCATCCCGAGTCAAGAGCCCTCCTTTTACTTTTGATATCCTGCTGGAAAGGCTCCATGTAAAAGGACAAGGAATTTCCTTGCTATAAGATAAGTCTTTATTAAAGGGCTTACACACACACACACAATCTCTAAAGCCCCTAACAGCCATTTGGTCAGGTTTTGGCCAGAGATCAAGGCAACATTCTTAAACTGCACTGTACAATGCTTCCTCTTAGGGGAAATAATAGTATCCTTTGCAGATAGACCCTGCACAATGCTCCAAATTAAGGAACTACAGCAAACGATAGCACTGAACTTCTTTGAGACTTTACTCCAAGCACTTATCAAACACCAGTCTCAATGGTAGTAAAAGGCAGAGACTGGAAGAAGCTATGCAAATCCATGTGGAATAGAATATAGAGTATAAATTATCCCAAGCCTTTGCACTTTGTATTTTACTTAATACCCTCACAGCCACTGGAGAAAACATCTTGGAAGACTTGGAAAAGCAAAGCAAAATAGGTCTCTCCATGACTATGACAGATCTAAGTGCCAAAAGCCTAAGGAAGCATCCTAGCCTATCATGTGGTTGTAATTAACATATGCCACTCAACTACGCGCTGCCTCTTCCCGCCCTCAGTTCTCCATTTCACATTATACAAGGCAGAGCAAAGCAGAAGGAGTAAATCTCAGGGCCTTAGCCTTTCCTTTAAACAGGAACTTCCTGTTCTAATAAATGAATTACATTTGGCACTAAAGAGAAAGGAGAGGGTGAAAAGACTCACACATTATTTCTTGTTACTTAATCCCTAATTAGCATGAAGCATTAGTGCTAGGAAAGACACAGTAAGGATAAAAAGCAGACTATGCTTAATCTACCACTAAGTCATTGCATCATAAATGGTCAATTTCTTAAAGTCATTTATGATGCTTTAGTTAAGAACAGGCCTTTTGCTGGTCTTGGTGGCATGCAAAGTAACTGGCTGCTGTGGGTTTGAAGCAGAGTCAGTGCTAGCAGGCACTGCTTCCTCTTGTGTTTCTGGCTGGTGAATTAGCTCAGCGGCAGTGCAGTGCTCTTCCTCACAAGTCTCTGAAGGACAGGCAGGGTCAGAACCATTGTCTTTGGTACCCCAGTGCCCTCCAGATGTTGGGATGCCCTGCTGGTTTTCCACTTCCCCATGCCCTAAAAGGCCATGAGCACATGTACTTGTCCTGGTCTGTAGCTGCTCAGAGGTCCCAAAGGGCTGAGTAGAGACCTTCACTGGCTCAGAGCTGGCCCCACACATTTGAGAAGACTCCAAAGCATTATCAGCCTCATTGGAGTTAAAGTCCTCATCATTGCTAATAACCAAAACTGGAGAGAAGGCTTCTGCAGGCATTTGTTCAGGGTCCCCTTTCTTCTCTTTTGGTGATGGGAATGAAAATTCCAGCTTCTTTCCAACCCTTAGTTTTGGATCACTTCCTACTTCTCTCCCTCTCCCCTCAGTACTTCCCTCAAATAGAGTTGACAACTTCTTAAAACTGGACAGTAAACCAGTCTCTGCTGCTCTGTTTCCAGAGGAGGAAGGTGGGGAAAAGAAAGAGCTCAATGGTTTCCCACAGTCAGTAGCAGACAATGGGAAACGGAGCTTCGGCCAACTGGTCATGTTTGGGATTTCAAAATGAGGTCGTGGCTGCTCTGTTTCCTGGTGGACTGCAGGTGGATCTTTCTTGGCATCAGGTGTCCCATAACTTTCTTTGGCACAAAGCACAAGTTCCTTCAGCAGAGGGCGAGAAAAGTGCCCTTGGGTTCCCAGTGTGGCACTCTTGTCAACACTTGCCTCACTGAACAGTGTAGTATTGATTCCTAATGAATTGGCTGCCTGCAGCTCTAAGAAGTCTTGGTTTGTGGAGTCAGATTGCATAACTGGCTTTGGCTCAAGAGGAAGAGGTGGATGAATTAGAGGAGGAAGCTCACTGCAAATCCAGGTAGGATCTGGATGCAACTGTGCTGACCATGAAATATGCTCTGCTTCCAAGGATGCCTCTGTATCTGTGCCCTGCAACATCCCCATGTCCCCTTCATTGCTCAGAGACAATACCCCTTGCCCAGCTTCATCCCCTGAAACAGAAGAGGCAGCCCCAACTATTTCAGGATCTTGGGGTTCTGGAATATTGTCAGGAATATTATTTTCTATTTCAGCTATTAGTTTAGGATCATCTGTCAAGATCTCCAATTCTGATTTTGCACTAACCACAGTCATTCCATGGTCAGTAAGAGTAGATTCTGAATTGAGTTCGACAGAGGCAGCTTTTCTCCACAAATTTTCTGTAGGTACTGTTTCTACAGCATCTTTGAAACTACCATTTTGAAGCCATGCAGCAGTTGGGATAGGTGATTCTTGTTTGTATTTCTCTGGTTTGGAACTTCTGAAAATTCCAAATACTTCACCTTTGAGGGGCTGAGATGATACACCAGAAGAAAGAGAGAAAAGGGAGTTTTTCTTTGGAGGATTAGGAGAGGAGAAAAGTCCAGAGAAAGTTTTGGGAGGTTCAATTAAGCACCCAGGGAAAGATTTCACTTTGGTCACAAACCCTGAAAGTATTTCTACCGAGGAGCCCAACACTGATTTGTCTTCCCCTTTATCTGCATCTGGGTTCTGGAGGTGCTCTGCACACCCTGGCTCCACAGAGGAAGAGGTTTGCTCCAGGATCTGTGTTAAGACCTCATCAGGGGCCTTTTCTAATGGCAAGTTCAATGGGTCACTGGTAGATTTTTCATTTTGGTTGTGGTTAGTACAAGTGTCTAAATTGTTGAGGTCTTCAATCAAATGGCTATCATGTGAAAAAGACTCAGCCAGTGAGCCACTGGGGATGGTTTCCTGTATAAAAGCCTCTTCTTCATGGAGTGCTACTCCATGGGTCTCTGGACCAGTGAGCAGTGTTTTTGCCTGTGCCTGTGGTGAATGAGGAAGAATATCTTTTTGTAACTCATTCATCTGGAAATCTTCTAACAACGTGCCTGATCCAATACTGGAAGCTCGTTTTCCTTGACAGTCCTTCTCTACATTGAGTTCATCAGCAACAGAGGTAACCTCAGTGGTGTTGCTAATGGAAACACAAGGAGCCATTTGCTGTTCATAAACCACCTCCGGGACTATGTTACCTCTGTTGCCATTGGAACCTTCTGTAGTCATTGCGCCACCCATGTCTACAAAAGCACTTGGCTTCCTACAGGGCTGGGAAGTTACTGGAACAACAGTTGAAAGGCTATGTTTTTCCCCAGGAGCATATTGCTTTTCATCCAAAAATGACAAGCTGAAGAAACTAAAAGAGCCACTATGAGAGGCATCCTTCTTGCTGCCTGAGCTGGTAGTGGAAAAAATCGAAGGAAGTGTAAATAGCCCTTGCACTTGAGATTTGGTTCTCAGTAGAGTAGCAGAGGCTCCGTTCTCAGATTTTTCAGATCCAGTCAGGAAAGAAAATATACTCTTTCTGGTTGGCAACTCTGTTTGTGATGGAGATGTTGTGGCAGTTGAAAAACTCTTGTCTTTGTCAGAAAAATCATTTTGTTCATTCAAATTTCTTCTGTTCAGAATATCGAATGATATTTTGTTACTTCTTGAAACTTCTGTCACTGTAGACACACCACTAGTTTCTACTGAAGAATTTCTAGAAGCCTCGAGGCAATTTACAGAGAAACATGAATTTGATGACTGCTGGATTAGGTGATCTCTGGAAGATAAATATTTTTCAGCCAAATTATTACCCTCAACCTCTCCTGTTGATGGTTCCTTTAGCCCACTATCATCAACAGGAGTCTGCTTCTTCAGATTTCCAACTCGAACCTTCCCTTTAGAGGAAATTGGTGTGGCAGGAAATTTCACAGAATCCTGGCTAGTTAGTTGTGTGGGATTAGGACTTGACTTGACCTCATCTTTATAAGTCATTGAAGAAACAGACATATTTTCAGTAGTCTGTGCAGGAGATACACTGGTTTTAAAGAAATCCCCAAGAGTACCAAAAAAATTTGAAACACCAGGAGATTCATTCTTTTCCTGAGAAAATATCTTTCTGTTTTTATTATCATTCTTTTCTAAATTTGGTGATCCTTCTTTATTCACCTGGGTTTTAAAGAGGTTCAAAAATCCAGATGCGTGTTTTTCATTTGTTATGGCACTTACCGAAGAGTCTTCTCCATGACCAAAGAGTTTCAATGCACTTTTAAATAATGTTCTCTCAGATTCTTTGGAAGGCTGGTCCTGGGGAAACTCACAATTCTTATGTTCATCCCTACTAAACTGTGATGGAAGAGGAACTGAAACAGAGTCACCTGTAATGATTCCATCATCTTCTATACCTGATTTAGCCTGAGGAGCTATTTGGCTTACCTGGAAAACAGATTTTAACAAACTTTGTTTTTTCACATCAATGCTTTTATTTAAAGGGACTTCTTGCTTCATATTTTTAGTAACTTCTGGTTGCTGAACATTGGCTAATATTTGTCTCTCTGAATCCTTTCGAAGACTTTCCTCCTCACTTTGGGAGTTACTCTCTAACTGCTTACTAAAGATTAATGACTGAAGATGATTGTTTGTGGCCTCTGCTAAGGTTGACTGTTGATCTATTTTCTGCATGGCCAAAGACTCTAAGGATTCAATCTTATCAAACTTCAAAGTACTTCCAACCAAAGCACCCAAAGCAGAAAATAACGAATTCACTTTGTTTAATGACGACATCTCTTCTATTTGCTGTGGGCTGTTAGTCACATTTTCAAGATGAACCAAAGAGGCAGCTTCTTCAGAAGACTGAAGCCACTGGAGACTGGAAAGTTGAACTGATGAATCCTTAGCAAGAAGCTGGTTCTTATCTTCCTCTATAAATTGATTTTTATTTAAGACATGATTACCAATGGTTTGGAACTGATTTCTGAGATCCAAAGTACATTCAGAGTCTTCAGAACTACACATACTTTCTTCAAAAGATCCAAAATCTCCCTTAAACTTTTGAGGATTATAGCCTGAAAAATCTAATGGTTGGCTGTAACTTGACTCTTCGAGTATTTGTGAAAAGGTTCCTAAATTTAGATACTTTGGTCCCTCACTTCTTGGCAAAACTAAAGATAAATCAAGAGGGTCCTCAATTGGTTTGTCATCAATGTACCACAATAATTCATCTTCCTTGTCAAGTACTTTTGAACTACAGGCAGAAATAACACTGTCATGCACTGTAATACTTGATAGACCATTTGTCTGTAAATCAAAATTCAAATACTCTTGATAATAATCAGGTGTAAATAAATATGCATATTGCCCAGTAGAGTCAGTAAGAAGAGAATAGACATATTGACCATCATGGAACATAAAATATCCATAATCTCCATCTTCTGATGGCCACCACACTCCATTTTCAAGATATGACAACCATTCCTGGTATTCATAACTGACACTTGAAAACATAAAGTTTTCACCCAATGTTAATGATTCTTGACTAATAATAGGGCATGTAGTCTTCTCATAATCTGAAAAACAACTTAAGTCAATGGGCATTTCTTCTAATGAATTTTTAGTCTCATTAATTAGAAGATGAAAAGAATTTTCATATAATGAGTTAGCTGCCCACATATCACTTCTTAATAAGTAATCTTCATTAAATGCTAACTGGTCCAATGATTCATATGGTAAATCATACCAAATGACACTTTTTGGATTTGTTCTGTCCTCCAAGAGATTCGTATTTTGGTCTTTTTGGCAAAAATTTATTGCTGAGTTTTCTGAGTCAGGCCACAGGAAAACATCAGCTGATGGAAATGTATTTGGATTCAACATATAATAAACTGGCTGAAATTTTCTGGAATTTTTAGAGAACTCTCTTATATCAGAGTCCCATTCATAACAGAAAGGATTGTTCATCTCTTCAAAAGCCTGATAGCGGCTTGACTTATTAAGAATGTTAGTATTTTGTATAGGTGGATTTAACTTGTTTGCATTTTCATGTACTTTTGCCTCAAGAACACAGTGTGGTGTCAGCCTCTTAGCCAAAGATTTCTCTAAGAGGTCCTGCTGAGCATTTGGAACACAGTGAAATACTCTGTTCTCAGAAAAAGGGCAATACTTTTCACTTTGCTGGTTTTTCCATGTAGGAGGGTAATGGCAATGATCAACCCAAGCATCAGATAATGGTACATTTTCTTTGGGTAAAGGTAAGGAACTTTTTATGAAACCAGAAGTTCGTTTTTCAACATGGCTCCTCTGGTTCTCAGAAGTTGCAAATGAAGTAATAGGGATCTCATCCAGGTATAAATGTTTATTCCCATTCAAATTCATAATGTCACCTGAAGACATGGACTTTGCTTCATCTGGTTTATTATCAGTTATACTGCTATTGGGTATCAAGTTAAATATTCCAGAGAGTACGCTTGAGGTGTTATTCCTGTGATGAGAGTCATCATTTTCCAAATTTAATTCTTTTTGACTAGACAAGTTGTCAAGAGAAGAAAACCTGTTAAATAGGCCAGAAAGGAGGCCTCCTTGGGTTTTCTTGGAAGCTTTATCTACAGGTTTTTCCTCACTGAATCCATTAACCAAGGTGGATTCTGAAATGGTAGAAGTAAATGCTAATGAATAGTCTGATACTGTTGAAGATCTCACTTGTATAGGAGTCTTACTTTCTCCTGAAAAATCTGACGATGTATGGTTTTTGGACACAACTCCAGAGATGGCTACGGTATCTCTTTTGCAGTTCTCTAATACTATGTGGTCACTTGAATTTAATTCCTCCATACTCCCAAATTTCCTAAGATTATTATTAATGTTAGGAACTAAATCAGACTTTACTTTATTAAGTGTGGCATCTTCAGGACAATTCATTTGGTCATTCTCATTAAATGTTTCTGTATCACCAAATTCCCCTATATCATTATGAATATTTGGAACTGAACTACGTTTTATTGAACTAAGTGTGGCATTTTCATGGCAGTTTCTTTGGATCCCTTCATCAATGGTTACTGCTGAGCCATGAAAACTCTGGTCATTGACAGGGATATGGCTGTCAGTAAAAGGAAATTTAAACAAAGAAAAAATACTTCCTTTCTCTCTTAAATCCTGCTGCTTTTCAGAATGACCAAGAACTCTGAAAAATGGAATATGCAGTTTTCCACTAAAGGAAAAGGAATGTACATCTTTCTTAGGGCCCCTTTCCCATCCATTGTCTTCCAACTGGTGAATTTTCATAGATTCTGACAAAGTTTCCTTTGAACAGGTCTTGGAGGAAGTGAGCAAAAACTGACTAAAGGATTTTCTGAATGGCTCAAGGAAATCATTATCACCAATAACTTTATTTTCCTCTAATGGCTTTGAAGAAACTTCTTTATTTGCAGTTCTACTGTCAGCCACACAAGGATGTCCTGGAGTATCTTTGGCACATATTTTTGGATCATCTGGTAACAGAGACAGATCTGAATCGGGTTTTCTTTCCAACAGACTCTCAATATCATCTTTATTACTTGCAGAACTAGCTAAGTTTGAAGGTTCAATGGCAGCTTGGAAAGACAACAAATCCTCATCAGTGAGCATTTGGGACCAGTCTATAGTTTCTCCACCACTCCTACCTAAAGCAACCATGCTACTGTCATTGCCATGGGTGTCTTTCCTTTGATTTGACTCCAAACCACACCCAATGAAGCTTTCTTTCCTTGTCTTGGTCTGGTCATCCTCTTTCTTGGTCTCATCTTTTTCGAAAAAGATCTTCAATGGACTTAGCATGCTAAAAACAGACTTTATAACTGAACTCTGACTCTGTGGAGCTGAGTCCCTTCCAACAGTTTCTGTTGCATTCTGAAAGCATAAATTTCCAGTTTTACTGCCCAAGTGTTCATTTTCAGAGGTTTTGTCATGTCTGCTAAAATCATTATTAGCTGCTTGAGAGCATAATGAAGACTGCATGGAAAGATCCTTCTCCAGTACTGACTTGGCTCGGGGTCTAGATCCCGAATTAATTGTTTTTATTTGATTAAGAGTTTCTGTCTTCTCTGGAACTATATAAACCAGCTTTTCCACAGAGGTTTTTAAATGTTTTGTGTTTAAGCCTACCTTTTCTGTGAGTGAACTGAGCAAAGAGCCAACACCACATTTCACTCCATTTAGCTCAGGGAAAGAGACAGCACTGTCTTTGTCATTCTTGACAGTGGTTAAAGGTGGTATTTCATATCCAGGTATTTTCTGTTCTGCATTATCAACAGTACTATTGTGTTCAAGGGTTTTAGTTTTTGAAAGGGAGCCAAATCTAACAATCTCCTCTTCCTTCTCTGCTAAATATTCTGATACTGTTTCCACCAAATACTGAAGCTCATCTATTGTATCAACATAGTCCTCCTTGGGCTGCTCTATAGAGGAAGGAGTCATCTCTTCCATTGGAAACTGGGGCAGACCTCCAAGTATGTTCGCATCACAATTCATCCTTTGTAATGGGAATGCTGGATTTGCTACATAACATTCTTCAGGAAAGCCTCCAGCATGATGAACATTAGATGGATGACATAGTGACAGTAAACCTTCCTGCTTATCAGAAATGGGGGAACCCAGTTCATCAGAAGTGCTGTTAGTAGAATCTTCAAGAGTATCTAATGAAGTGAAATTAGTCACATGCTGGTTTAAGCCAGATGACTTTTCACAGTTCTTAAAACAACTGGAAAGATCATAATCATGACTTTCCAATTTAGTGGACCACATGCCACTCTTAACCACAAATCTATTTTTGTAAGGATACAAAATTGGGTAATTTTCTTTCTTCTTTTCAGTGTGGCAAAGGTTACAGTTTTCAGTGTTAGGATATGTACTTTTGAAGTTAGTTTTAGTTCCTGATCTGTCATATTGCCTTCTTTCACTGTCTTCAAAACAACTGTATAAGGTTTTCTTTTTCCTTCTCCTATCTATTGTGTCATATTTCTGAGGATATCTGGAGAAAACAGATGTTTCAAACTTAAGGTCAAAATTAAAGGCAGTAGAGAATTCTGTTTCCTGGCTCTGAGATGGTATCTTTTTCCAATTCTTGTACTTTGGTTGTACTTGTTGGCTATAATAGTTATCACTTTTTAAAAGAGTTCTAGTTTCTTTTACCTCCACTTCTTTTAAGTTTGTATTATTCTTTTCTAGAAACTCTTGTGATTTTCTCCCTTCTATCTCCTCATATGTACCTTCTTGCTCTTCAAAGTCAACATCAAAGAAAGATGAAATAATCCTAATTTTATCATTTTTAGCCTGCAAGCCTTGTCTGATGTCAAGGGACAAAAGTGAAGGAATATTAAGGCAAAAAAAAAGGAGTAACAAGGAAAAGAAACAAATTATAAGATGTAGTGCACATTCAATGAGAAAACTAGAATAAAATTATCAATTTGATAAAAGGCATTCAAACTGAAGTAACATTGTAAGGAAATCCACATGTTCTCAATCAATACTATATAGCTATGTAGTCAAATAGGTTTTCCACATCATAAAAAGAACAGCTATAATACAACAACTTTAAAATACTTTAAATATAAAGTATTAACCTTTAAATCTCCTACCCTTTTAGAATCTTTTTACTTTTTAAAAAACAAACAAAATGAAAACATTTCATCAAAATTTTAAATGTATTTGTAATGCCAAAGTTTAGAACTGTTAAGTATCCCATGAAAACATATCAAGGAATTTCAAGAATCCTAAAGTTGTTGATGAATTTGGGTCTGAAAAGAAGCCAAGCTGTTAACTTGCTTAAAGTTATATTTGAGGCAGTACAGCCATAGCCAAGAAAATATCAAACATATTTCTTTTAAAAAGAAAAATTTATATACATAATAAAAATAATCTTTGACTACCAGAAATCAAAGATTGTTACAAAGAAGTCAAACCTTGTTACAATACCAAGAGCAAATTACTTCAAGCATTATAATTTATTTGTTAAATCTAAAGACTATATGCACTGAGGATCACAGTGAAATGAAAATCTTTCCTTATCCTGATTACAACAGAAGCTACACATCCAACTTAAGTCAATGAATACAAAAGACAGCTGATCTTTCTTTAGTTAGGTTAGAAATGGCTTGCTTCCCATGCACGGGGTGGGGTGGGGTGGGGGGGGTGGCGGGGTAGAAAGGGCCTGAAGACTAGGAGCTTGTCAGCTCTGTATGTTCTTCTTTTTTTTAAATTAAGGTATCATTGATATGCATTCTTATGAAGATTTCACAAGAAAAACAATGTGGTTATTACATTCATCCTTATTTCTGTATGTTCTTTTATAGATCTAACATCCAATAGCATTTATTTGGGAAACAGAAATAAGATCAAAGTGGTCACTTAGTCACTAGAATTCTTTAAGAGTAAGACTGATATTCTTTTGATTCCTCTCAACACGAGAGATACTTTGACCATATAACAAAGTCAACTCTATTATCAAACCTCAAATTATGTGTTTTTACATAATTAACAAAAATTTCAGTTATTCTCTACTTGTTAGGCAAAGCCCACTTTGAGTAAGAAAATCTAATTTAACAATTTTCTTTTTACATTCAATTTCATTACTCTCCAGTATCCTCAAAAATGCAAATTACAGATGTCTTCATAGTTCCAACTTAAATTAGTCATGGCTGTAGTGAATGAAGCCAATTTTTTAATATTTCGAATTAATTAGAATATACTGCAAATATGTTTGTTCCCTCAAGGATTTTAAATGTCCTTTCTAAAAAACTGTTTAAAAACTTAGACTATACCTAAGAACTCAGTATTTATAGTAAAAATTTAAAAATCAATGCTAGTGATATAATTTCTTCAAAACTCTTTAAAGGAGAAATCATTTCAAAAGTTTAAGTTAAAAATGTCTACTAAAAGTTTACTTTAAAATCATGTTAATTTTTCCTTTGCTAAAGACGAAAAGCACTTTCTAACTTCATGTCATATACTGATACAATGAAATCAAATTCATATGGGATCAATTAAAGAAAAATTTTAGGAAAAATATGCAACTTAAAGTCTATCAGTAATGCTCCTCTAATTGTTATTTATTATAGCAATAGCCCAGGAAACACCAAAATGATAACAGGGTGATGATTAATTAGGTAAATTGCAGTTGTCCAGATGAGTATATGGTCATTTGGGTTGACGTGCCATTATTATTTCTGGCCTGTACATCTTGGTGGCAAATACAGAGGGAAAAGAGACAAAAGGTTTCTTTCCTTAAATTAGGACAGTATAAACAACTAAAATCAAATGAATAAAATATTCAAATATTCAATTAATAAACCAGCATGGAGTGGGGACCAACTAAAGTAGGATTCCTGGCATGTTTCTTTTTAGAATCAGATTACAAAGAGTGAGGATTCTAAGAGATGACTGATACATGGAAAATTTCATGGACAATATTCTCAGAGATGATAGTAAACTGAGACAGGATATTGTCTAGCAGGTTGATGGCCATCTGAGGCACAGGATAAATATTCACCTGTTTGGTAAAGTGGGCCAAAAAAATGAAATCACTCCATGGTATGGTGAATTTTAGCAACCAAAAGTGAGCTAAATTAGAATGGCTTTTTAAAAATTAACCTCCAACCAATTAAATAATTGATTCAGGCAAAGATCATCAATGGATGCTAAAGTCAATGGGATAAGGTTGTTGGGCAAACAGAATATTGACACAATCTCAGGTATTATCCCAGATTATCCTTAATTACAGGAGAGAAAGCTAACTTTTCATTGGAAAAACCTGATATATATCAGATTTCTTAATAAACAGATCAAACTAAACATCATCACTAGTAAGACATAGTAACACTATGCACCTACAGATGCATTGTGAAGGAAATATCATCTATGTAGTGTTTTTCACAAAAATGTTTAACTTGATTGTAAACAGGAAAAAACAATCAAGATAAAACCAAATTTTGGTGCACTCTCAAAGCAATTGGCCTGGACTCTCCAAAAAATGTGTCTTAAACAAAAACAACAACAAAAAGCTAAACAAATTTTGTAGATTGTAGGAGACTATACAAACAGGAAAATCTAATGTGATGCACTGTGATCCTTAAATGGATCTGGATCAACACAGATAAAATACACATTAAGAACATTATTGGGACAACTGGAGGAATTCAAATATGATCTATATAAAGTAATATTAAATAATTATATATTAAATAATATCACTGTATCATTGAATTTCTTGAGTGTGATCCTAGTATTGAGGTTTTATAAGAGGAAGTGCTTTTGTTTACAAATAATGTACTTCCTGGTAAAACAACATGGTATCCGCAACTTTCAGTCTTCAAGAAAAGAAAATGTAGGTATATATGAATATATATTAGAGAGAATGAAAGGAAATGTAGCAGAATGTTAACATAACTGGTGAATCTAGAAAACATGAATATTGGTGTTCACTGTACTATTTCTCTAACTTTTAAGTATGATTTATTTTTAGTTGGGGGAATAGAGGAAGATATATTTTTCTATTCATAAATATATGACAATAGTGTATGAAAGGGAACATAACAAATAAACAAGGGTGGTGAGAGAACTAGGGGAAGGGGATGGGATGGAGAAGGATAAATGGTGTGGGTGGGAGGTTCTCTGCTGTATGCTGTATTGTACCTTAACATTCATTTAACCATGGGGATGCTTTATATATTTAAGACATTAATAAAAGAAATATTTTGAATGTTCCAGCAAAAGTACTGAATCTGCTATGGAGAGATCGTAAAATTGGTTTTCTTCTGAAGTTCCCACAGAAATATTTAGATAGGAAGGACTATCTGAATTTTTAATATCTGTGCTTTTCTTTTTTTAATCTTGGTGAAAGGTGTAGGTTTTCTTCAGCGATCCATCCCAAGTGGGCCTGCTTTCTTTCACCAGGTGAGAATCACTGATCATAAAGAGAAATATTTCTGATGAGAAAAAAATGACTGAGAATCTATACAAATGCCCATAGATTGGCCCATACTACTGCTATACTTCCACTACCACCTCAGGTTAAAGCATCCCAATGCCAGTTGCATCCTGAAAAGTGCATGCTAGGAACAGAAGTGCTTTGTTTCCGATACCCACCTGAGGGCCTGCCGCTCTGGATAATCGAGGTCATAACTTTGCATAGAGTCATCGCAAGAGTCCCGGCAACTGCCTTGCAGTAGCAGATGTGGTAATCGCACAGGCACAGGGAACTGGTGCACGGAAGCATTGGGCTGGGAAGTTGTGTGATAAGGAGGTGGGATGCTATTGCTGGTCTCACTGCGATAGTCACTATCTCGGTCATCAACAGCACTATCAGGATCTTCAAAAGCTGTGGAATAAGCATAGTCAATGAAAACACCCCAGCTTCATTAAGTCTTCAAAATTTTTTCCACTTCTAACTTAGGTAGCCACGGTCCAGACCTTGAGAACAAGAGCAAGCTGAGGGGTACATAAGCCCCTGTCCACAAAGCCATGTGCAGAACTGTTTCAATTAATACCCACAGACTATCTCATTATCAAACTAGATAAGACAGTTGGTTTAATTTTGTGCTGATTCTTAGAGTTCCAAGTTCCAAGTTTCTCTAGTTCCTAACTTTCTCTAGTTACTGTAAGTGTAATGAAAATCTGCTTTTAAATGTCATAAATAGATTCTGGTGCTCTACTATTATCAAAATGGGCAGAAGGGAAAAAATAGGTTTTCTCTATCTTAGAAAAGGGAAATTTTTGTTTAAAGTTGGCTTGGTGACTTCAGACTTTAAAAATGCATGGCCAATCCAAATAAGCAGGTCCAACATCAGCAGCTGGTCCAAGAAATCAATAAGATAAAAGCCAAGGCTCAGAAGTCAAGCCCCAAGTTGTGGATGCAGCTGAGAATGACAACAGTCTTACTGTCTTGCTGCAACAATGTTTTGTGGTGGTTGTTGAAGTCATTCCTGTCAAGCAGCTACACACTGGGGTCAGAATTCCCATCCAAAGCCTGGGCTGACAAAGAAGCAGAAAACGTAAGCACTGCTAATGGGATCCTGCTGACAGTGCAGCCATGTTTATCTAACAGCAGTGACTATAATTTCATAAAATTAGACTGCTTTTCAGGCCAGCACTTGACTGGCTAGTTTTTGTGGGTTTTTTTGATGTTAGCTAAAAGGACCATATTAAAAATCATACTCTAAGAAAAAATAAAAATATGCAACACTATCTTGGAAAGGAAGCTCAACTGAATAGTGCTTTGTCATTTATTTCATAGAGAGGAGCCATTTCTGACACCATCCCTGTACGTGTATAATTAACGAGGTCCTTTATATGCTCTTTCTTGCCAAGTTCCTATTTGGCTCACAGTGAGGAAAAGGAACATTCACCATTCTGAAGAAGAGATACTTTAAACAGATGATGGACTCCTCATATTAGTAATGAAAAAAAAAATCTTGGTAGGAATGTAGGCAGTGGAAGCCTCCTGGAGATTTTAAGATTAGGCTTTTACAATCACTCATGTAGGAGATAAGAACCATGTACTGGAAATGGAAAAGAGTTAATGAGCTAGGGAAAAAAAATCCAGACAAATGATAAAATTGGGGGACAGATGGAAGGTAACAGGGAAATGACCCCTTGACTTCTGCATTAGACAATAATTCCTCTAATAGATAACAATTCCACTAAAAGAGACAGGGGGCACAAACATGAAGAAGATATGAACACTGGACTCCAGACAACACTCCTGTGTACAGCTGGGAGTAGCAGTAAGAGGATCTTACGAACTCTTCCCATCTGAGTTCACAGCAACATAGGGACTGAAAAGCTTTCTGTTTACAAGGCATTCTGATCACACATTAGGAAAAATAGATTTTGGAGGCACTGGTTTTAGACCCTGATGCATTTATTGTTCTGAAGACTAGAAAGAAAAGATCAAGAAACAAAAGCCAGTATGCCTTTCACACTTAATTCTTTCTGAACTACAGAAGGAGTTAAGCGTGAAGAAGGCAGTGCTGGATTATTCATGCATACAGATGAGGGGTCAGAGGCAACAAAGGAGACAAAGCCAGAAGTCTACTTCAACTCCAGCTGGAGAAGTATGAGCACATAATCCAGAGAACCAAGGTTGAGTCTCCAAAGAGATAGCAATGATAGATAATCCTACTGATTATGAGGCCAGGGAAGAGTAGCTCAGCCAGAGTTAGGATCCCAGAATTCAGAAGCAGAAGCCTTAGTTTTTCACTGCGTCTATTACTCCTACAGAATGCTCTGCTTTGTTATTTTGCTAGGCTAAGGGGAGGAATATTCCAAAACCTTCCAAAGGCTGACAACATTTCTACACTAAGGAAATAAAGAGAAAATATTAAGAAACAAAGTGCTCATGGAAACAAGAGATTGGGAGAAAAAAAGAGAATATGAAAAGTGGGTAGGGTCAGGAGAAAGGAAATACAAGGCAAGTGAGGGGAAACAAAGGAGAGAAACAAACATACCAACAAAAGGTCGAGGTCAAAGGTGAGATTTCTCCCCCTACACAGCCTCCAATTTCCTTAGAAAGTAAACCTCCTGGCACCACCAAGGCTGATTAGATTTCTCCATGGGTAATTAAGGAAAAGGCTTGTGCACGCTGTGTTTACAGCGTGCTGGTGCTGGTGCTGGTCCCTTACTGGCTCTGTACTCTATGCCACAGCACCATTTCACCTAACAGAAAACTCCTGGCTTCACTGAGAAGGAGAAACTGAGGGCAGGTTTGGTTACTTAGCCTAAGAAGAATTTGTGAGCTATTCAAGGTTAAAATTGAAAAGTCCCTGGAAAATTAAAAGGCTGGGAAATTCTACTCATTCAAATATTCACTGAGTGCCTGCAAGTCCAAAGCTAAATAACACGAGATTCACAGCACAGAGTTAGTCTAATAGGAGAGAAAATATGGATATAAATACAATACAAAGTAGTAACTATCATGAGAAAAGTGCAAGCCAAGTACTGCATGAGTCACTTCCTGTTAGGGTGAGCAGGGGAAGCATTAAGGAGAGGACCTTGAAAGTCGGCTGGGTATCCAATAGAAGAAATTTTGAGGGGGAGGGAAAATACCTTCTAGAATCTGGATAAAAGCATTGGCATGAGTAAAGGCCCAGTGGTAGGGCTTTATAGGTTTTGAGAAACATTTTGTAGCTTATCTGGCAAGAACATAAAAGGGCATAGCAGGGAATGAAAGAAAAGAAACCTGGAAAAGGGGGCTGGGGAGAGTAATCTAATCTGAGGCAAAGATGGGCCCCAGGCACAGACTGGGCACTCAAACAAAACTGAACGAAAGACTGAACAATGAGAATCTCTGGTATGTGGTGGTCTCATATCAAGTCCCTGTCTTTAAATCAAGAGTTCATGTAGAACTTTATCAGCCAGAGAAGAAAAGAGAATTCAAACCTTTTTTTCCCATGGCTTAGTTACTTTTTCCTACTTGAAAACCTTAAGTTATCTGAGCTCTCATAGGCTATCTTTAAGCAGCTCCCTAGTGGAAATAATCAGGATTCAAATCACAGAAATTCCAATCTCACTCCACTAGGAATTCTACTAATAAGACAAAAAATCTGGCCCCTCTTAGCACCTATTAGATATCTCATCACTGGGACTCAACCAACCCCCCTGTCAGATAGGTAACACAGCCAATAATGTCAGCCTATAGCTCCATTATCTTGCTGGAAAGAATTAGATGCCCACTCTCTCAGCTCCAGTACAAAGTTTACCCCAGCCTAGTTGGGCTGGTTCAAACCAGGTCCTCAGCCTCTTGTTCACTTCACAAAACCAATGACTTCTCCCAGAATGAACCTTCTAGTTGCTGCACTCCTTAGTCAAGAGATCAAAGACAGGGTTTCCTACACGAGGGGGATGATGGTACTACTTGTGTCTGGGGAAAAAATCAGGAGCTCCTGTCAATATTATAACTGGGATTTAGATTGGGACTTAGGTTTGAAATTTGTTATACATACTCGTACATATGTAGATATGTACATACACACACACACATACACACACAGTCTTCAAGAAACCAGCCTGTCTGGAAGGACATAACATTCTACTGCAGGTCATTATCTCCTGAGATTCTGGTAGGGGAAGAATGGGGAATGGAATTATATATGCTTGTATGGATGAATATCCAGCTTCAGAGTTCAGAGGGATTATGTTAAAGAGTAAGATCAAGAAAATTGTAAAGAAGTCAAATTCTATGTACTCTGCTGCTCTCCCAGCCCAAATAGGTTCAGTGACCTAAGAAAACCACAAATGGTAGCAAAGAAGAGACACAATTTTAGCAAAGACACAATTTTAGGACAAATTCAAAGATCATTTCCCCATCCCACCAATTAATATTCATTTACCTTACTTGAGCCTACCCTACTTGTATTCCATTAATTTTACCTAATATACAGAGAGCATCTACATTCTACCAAGCATAAGACAAATCTACCAAGTACTCCTGATCTTTCATTTACCTTACTTGAGCCTACCCTACTTGTATTCCATTAATTTTACCTAATATACAGAGAGCATCTACATTCTACCAAGCATAAGACAAATCTACCAAGTACTCCTGATCTATGCTATTCATTACACAGAGCACATAAAAAAAAAAACTATTGCTTCCATATTTCTTTAAACCTCCTCTGGCCTAGGTCTCTCTCAGAATATCATCATTTAGGAGCTGATATACCCTTCTTTATTCAAAATGAGAAAAATCTGATTCATTTAAAAAACCCTTCCTATCTCTCTGTTCACCAAACCTGAGCCTACTACAGTCTATCTATGAGAAGCTCAGACATGATACTGTGGGAAAGAGCAATTCCCTTGTCTGGAAAGTGATGATGTTCAATTGTGTTGCTCTTTATTGAAAGTTAAAAAGCCAAAGAATGGCATTACTTTCTAATCTTCCAATTTATCATAAAAACACTGTAGCCTGTTAGGTGCTAAGAGACAGTCACTTTTCTCTGGATTGTCTATAAAATTTCACAAAATCCACTTGAATGCAAAAGCTCCGAATGACAGGAGAAAACTGAAAACATCATTTCTTAAAATAAAAATATTCAAAAATTTTTTAATTAATTAAATAAAATTTTTATTCCATATCCAAACTGAATGTGCATCAACTAATATAACAACAACAAAAAAATTACTAAAAATAGGCCTCTATCCCAAGAAAAAGGAGTAATTAAGGTTCATAGCTAAGAATATGGGCTATTGAAGTCAAAGTTAAGCTCTTCTGACTCAGCCACGTACTTGCTATATGGTCTTGAAAAAGTTATTATAGATGTTTCTTCATCTGTAATATGAGAATAATAATAAAGTGAGTCTCACTGGTTATTTTAAGGATAA